CGGCGTCCCCTGGAAGCCCTGGCGTCCCCTGGAAGCCCCTCCGTCCCGAGCGGGGCGAAGGGAGTGCGGGCGAGCCGAGGGAAAGGCCCGTGCTGCGCGTCCCTCTCGCTGCAACGAGACCCAACCTGAGCTTTCTCTTGAGCCGAAGGAATTTCTCAGGAAAAGTTTTAGAAGAGATGTAAGAAATGCTCTTGCTCAGTTATATGGCTGTTACGTAATTCTACAACAGCGTAATTGGTTACAGCAGATGCACGTTTAAACTTTTTCCCTCTTTCCATCAACTTGCCCTAGAAAGATGCGCTGCAGACAAACACTGGATATATGTTTAACAGTTGAATGATACTGTAACAGGTAGTTGGTAAAATCTTTGGTCAGTAATAGTTTAGGTTGCTTAAAGAAAAAGGTTGACCTCTCAAAGAGCTAAACAGGTACAGACTACCTCTAAACTCTGTTGTAACCAATGGACTTTGCTCAGCTGCTGCTTTGCTACGCTTGCTTTTTGTAACAGACTGTTCAGCGGTTGTGAGTAGAGGGGTAGGAAGTAACTCAACTGTGATTTTGTAGTTGGACTCATACCTGTTGTTATATATTGCTGTAAAGATTAAAAAAAACCCTCCAGTGTTGTTGGATAATAGTCCTTAAAAGGGCACACCAGAATTTGAAGTGAATAAGACAGTGGGAGGAGATTGTCTACACAGACTTTCCATATATTTTCTTAAAAATATATATATGCTTATTGTCAATTTACTCTGTCAGTAGTAGAATTTTAGTTTGAGGTTTAAAAATCAAGCTAAATTTCTTGATGTTCTTATGCTTCATTGTCAGTAATAACATTTCTGTAACCAAAACAACCCTGGGAATGCATTGCCAACTGCTACAATCTGTTTGTTGCAGAAGCTTTTGACTTGAAGATATCCAGAGGACAGATCTGGTTAATAATAAGTTGCCATTTTAATAAATGTCTTTTGGGGAAGTGACTGTTTAATACAGGATGTATGCTATAGTGCAGTTGCTTTCATCTTCTAAAAATTTCTGAGTGGGATTCCATATTAACAACTCATGAGCCTACTGGTGGTAGATTTGATGTGTTGGTTATTTTTCTAGTTATGTGATTCTTAAATTTCCCCAATTGTACAAGCAAGTCATATTAAATAAAACAAATTGCTGCTGGTTGTCTTTGGTGCAGCTGCAGCTAGGAAGCCATAAATGAAAACTTCTATTTCAGAAATTTCTATACAGGAGTTTTTTGGAAGTAAGCATTATTTAAGTGTGGAGTATCTTGGCTGGAGTGATGAATCAAATTATTTCAGGTATGAGAGTGACAGCTCAAGATTAAGACACTTATTTGCCAGAAATGCTTTTCTCTTGAGCAGTGGGAAATCTTTTAATTTGAGGGATGTTGCCCCCCAAATAGATTGTCTGTCTGAAGTCCTGTGAACAGCTAAAATCCCTAGGCACCTAATTTTAAATTAATGTGTACGTCTGAAATAGTGTATGTCCTGATGTACCCAAGCAGCTTGCAGCCCAAATAAAAATTAGGGTTCAGGTTATGGAGAGACTGGGTACTTAGCATAGCGAATTGCAAAGGATGTCAGAATACATAAAACTTGTGTATTGTGATGCCTAATTCCCTCTTTGGGTCTTGTCTAAAGAGCTTATCCTGATCTCTATGGCTTTTGTGCATACAAGGTTCCTTAAAGGGAGGGTTTCTCTGGTTTAGGATAACTTCCTTTTCCCCTACTTCTTCATCTCTGTTACAGAAAAGTGTTTCATTAACCCGTGAAGAGGTACAGCATAGTTCTTGTGTAACTAACAGGTCTTTAACTTGATACCTAGCTTATGCAAAATCTATACTGTTTTTGTTTTGTAAGTCCTTTTCAGAGATAGGATCTTGACCTTCCAGCCGTACCTTTCTTCCACTGTATGAAGATTCACTGAAAATACTATGACTGCTCAGGGACTGTCAATCAAAAAATTTGGTACCCCAGAGTCCAGCTTTGGCGTTGTGCCAGGGATGTAGTAGGAAATGTTGAGCGTGCCTCTTAAGGCACCATTTTGGTCTAACATTAGTGTGACCTGATTGTGGAACTGCATCTGACTGCCCCTAAAACTGTTGTATAGGAGATGTAATTCTCCCATTACTGCTGTGGCAGAGGCAGAAAGTTGGTAGCTCACATTTTCCCTTTGCTGATCCTTTCTCCTGTGCTTTTTCTTTAAGCTTCTAAGAGGAAGTAAGTAAACTTACTGTCTAAATTGCTGCCAGAGATGACCAAGTTGAATAGCTACTTCTTAAAATGCTGCTTAAATTTTGAGAAACTAGAAGGTAAAAGACACTCTAGACACTTCTTGAGAATCCCTTAACACTAGCCGTTACCAGTTCAGTTTAAACTCAGTTTTATTGGGATTTGTAGGTCTTCTGCCTGTTGTACTTGCAGATTTCTTGGAGTTCATCTGCTGGCTTAAGCCATGGAAAAGATGCTTTTCCCTCCTACGTGCACCTATGAAGAGAGAGGTCCAAATTCTAATTCCTGAAGCAGCCTAAAGCCATTTGTGTGGCAGTATGCCCTTCTAGGATGGGCTTCTGGGTTGCTCTTGAGGCTTTTCTGCTTTGCATTGGCTCACAAATATTCTGTAGGCCAACGAAGAGAGAGACAGACAGACTAGCTGCTCTTTCTTTAGCTTCCACAGACGTTGTACAGGCCTGTGGTTAGGACAGCTGCTCCAGGGGAAGGTGATCTGCTTTCATTTCCTGTTTCAAGGAACATTTGACTGTGCAACTTACTCTGGGCTATAATGACGCTATCTGTCATAGTGGATGTGAAATTAAAAATGGGAGAATTTATTAGAGACCTCTTCAGTAATTACTGAGGTAATTCTCTTGTAAGGTTTGGAAGAGGGATGGAGGACCAGGAGAACTGGAGATCTGTACTCTGGTTACTGTAGCACTTCAGAGCTAAAGAGGTTTAGTCCATTACCTTGCTCTTTGATGTAATTATCTACCTCTAATTCATTCTTGACAGATGGACATAACTTATTCTCTATTATGGCATGAAAGTCTCTTTCAAACTATCGCACAAAACTCTAATTCTTGTAGGACTATAAGTACACTAACTGATAGCATAGGATGTAATGGTGTGTTTAAAATGGGAGGGAGAGTGGGTTGTGATAGATATGGATCAGGGAAGGGTTGTCTGGCAGGAGGAGACAGCCCTGCTTGAGATTTCCTACTGAACTAGGTTGAGAGGGACTGTTGGAGAAACTGCAGCAGCCATGGGGATTTTGGGGACAGTTGTTTCAAACCTCTTTTGCAGTTGTAATAAGGTCTTGTATTAAGACCCTGTTTATTTCTATGTATGTTGACTCCATGTGTTTATGCTGTTGCTTTTATTTGCATTATCAGTGTTTGAAACACATTGTTTATGACTTCTTTTTTTCTCCCCTGTAATACAGTCCTAGCACACAGTAGTAATTCTAAGTTAGGGAGTATCCTTCAAGGAGTAGAGAGTTGTTGGATTTAAGTGTTTTTGTTTATTTTTACAGTTGTTTACTTAGCTGCTTTTTGTTTTAGGGATTGGAATAGAAACATGTGTTAACTTAAAGCTGTGAAGGTTATAATTATTTGCTGTCTGTCTGCAAGCATTTTTCATTAGCAGTGGTAATACACAGAGTTGAAAGAATGCTTATTTAATGGTATGTTATTGAAAAATTCATATGTATTTAAATATATAAAATATATTTTCCAACTTGTCTGCCTGGAATTAATAAGAGATTGAACGTTTGTTTTCTTTCTTTTTCTTGAAGATCTCAAAAACTGTACCAGGTCCTTGAGAGAGAAAACTACATGACACTACACCATGAGTGACAGTAAATGTGATAGTCAGTTTTACAGTGTTCAAGTTGCAGATTCAACGTTCACTGTACTAAAACGTTACCAGCAACTGAAGCCCATAGGATCAGGGGCGCAGGGCATTGTTTGGTGAGTAATAAACACTTTATTTAAATATCAAAAGCTATAAATATAAAACAAAATTTTAATGTATTCCTGATAGGGATGCCAGGATGTCAAATACTGATGATAATTTCTATCTCTTGCTACAGGGTTATGGGCTAAATAAATTCTAAACCACCTGCTTTCTTTAGTTCATGTGCAAAACTCTTTATTTTGTTTTTAGGGGAAAATTAATACTTGGATAACAGCATAAAATAAAATGGTCAACAAATTTCCTTCTCACTAACCACTTTATTTCTGTTTCTAGTTCTCACATTCCCTGTGTAGTTATGATATTGCAGTGTAAGGTATGACAATGCAATGGTGAGAGATTCTGGGTTTTACTCGTTTCTTCATCATGGCCCCCTTTCTTCCCCCCCTTTTATTCCCGATCACTCCTGTCCATTTCTAGGAGCCATCAATGCAGTGCCTTGCCATTAACTGGCAGGATGAGGCAAATCAGTGTCATTGTCACTCCATGGATTAACCAGAAAGGGATGCTGTGTGAGGGGTTGGGCTGGCCGGCTCTTCCTTGGTGTGTCACCTCAGCTATGTGTCCAGCCTCCACTGGCCCAGGACGTGAGAGTCGTTAGTCTGATCCTGAACCTTAGTCTCTTGTATGGCACCACACCTCTGGGCCAGCTAAAGGTAAACACTTTCAAATGTTTTTTAGACTGCAGCAATCCGTTCTACAGGACTTAGTGCCAGCCCATATTTTGTTGGGCGAAACTTACTTGGTAACAACAGAAATGTTTATTGATGCGATTTTACAATTCAGTACACAGGGGAGCAAACAGATATGCTCAGGAACTCTCTAATATTAGATTTAATCACAACACATGGTGGGCTGTTCATGCTTCAAATGCAGTCTGCTGTTTCTCTTCATCTGTAAATTCTGCAGAATAAGTGTGATGAGTCATATATTGTGAGCAACTCCTTATGCAGCACCTGCCCATGTCTTTTTGACCTTTTCATAACTGTAATAAGTTATATATGTAGGAAAAAAGTGCATTTTTGTGAGAACATGCCTTTATTTATAAATTATTTAGATACCCCTATTGTCCTAGGTGAAAAATAAGTAAAATGAGAACACCAGATTTGATTCTTTAGTGAGTTGAGTGATGAGAGGATAGGCATATTAGATCTTGATTATTAGTGCTTGGGTAAGATTTAGTATAGTGCTAACATTTTCCAGCTAGAAATATTCTTAAAGTTATGCTTCTTCTAGATGGCATGCAGGAATTTAGGGTGGTTTTAAGCCTTCCTCCTTAGTGCAAGAAGTAGTGCATTTCTAAACTCTGTCACTTAAACTAGATGTCTGCTTCAAAATGAAGTTAGTGTTAAGGTCAACATTTTGGGAAGAAGGAGGAACGATCTGATTTATTGACTTGTTTTGAGAATGCTTGATTTATGGAACAACAGAGTGAAACATTGCATAAATTTTCACCTTCATGTGAAACATCTGAAAACTGTGTCCAAGGTGAAGAAGCTGCAGAATCTTAACTTCTCCTAAAATTCCTCACAGGACACAAAGGAAGGATACAAAATACTGGAATGTGAAAAAAAACTCAGGGTAAAATGAGTGCTGTCCCGTCATGTTTGGCTGGAAAAATTGTCAAGTCAGTAGTGTGATACACAGATGTGATGCTTTTTTTTTTATCATCCAATGTTTAACATAAAAATTAGGAAAAGTATTTCTGCAGTTTTGTGTGTGGATTTTATTCAAATTTTTTTAATACCATGTGTGTCACTTCAGCTGGGAGAGGTCCTGAATTTTGCTGTTTTTTTTCCCCTCAAAATATTAATGTGAAACTCCATTGGTATTGCTTCTGCTTTTTTTTTTTTTCCCTTTGATATTAAAATTTAGGAAAAGAAGTAGTTTTAAAAATACATACTTAGGAAAAGTGATAAATGAGAGCTCGAGGAAGATGAAAAAGGATCTCAGGGGTCATATAGAGGGTATTTCTAGCTCACACCACAAACAGACTAGGAGAGAAATTGGACATACCTTTTGTATTTTATATACAAAGTACACTTCTATACATGACTTTCCACACTTTTTTGTTCCTAAGTATTAATACATTTGAAGTGTTATAATCTATTTAGGACTGAGTAATCACTTGCACAAAATCATTCTTTTGAAATAATTTTTGTCTTTGACTTCTTGACATCTTTTTCCCTTTCTTGCCCCTGATTTCCTAAATTTTCTAGTGAATCTGAGTTTTCTGACCTAGCAAATTTCTTTTGTCCTGCAATGCAGCAAAACCATGATTTTATAAATAGCACAGCCTTGACCGTGGTGATAATTTTACTTACAGTTGCAAATGAAGAAACAGTCAGGATAAGTTTATTATTATTTGCAAACTCCAATTTAGACAGTAGAGAAAGAGTGACATGGAACAGGCAGAGGAAGAATCTGTAGTAGTAGCATACTACAGTTCAAAGCAAAGGTCATTGGCCTACAGAAGTGGTGTAATTTCCTTCTATAATTGAGGTCATAATGTTTTATTAATGATTTCATTGTGTATGTGGCTTCACTACTCTTAAATGCTTAAAATGCAAAACTATCACAAATGCAGTGAAGGCCCTACTACAACTCATCATCAAATTGGAATCTGTTGTATGGGGGGATAGACATTGAGATTCTTCCGTGATGGTAAATGAAGTAATTCATAGACCTTCTGTTAGTAGCCAAGGTGATAACTGGGTAGCCTCTGGCAAATCCACTTTTTTCAAATCTGTGTCTGAAACAGTTGCCATGATGAAAAAGTATCTTTTGAATTCAAATGAGCAGGGATGGGGAAAGAAATTTAATACCAATTATGTCCATGGGGTTTTTTTTATGTAAAATTACATGATATCTACAAGTGTGGTCTTGGTGGTAGTAGGGGTTATAGTCTGTCTCTTGTCTTGGTAAATTAAAGAAATACATGCTCACACAATTTTTGACCATTTTTTTTTCTTCTACGAGTCTGTTTTTAATTCTTCCCTTTGGATGGTGTAGGTAGCAGGCAGCTTTTTTTTTTTTTTTTTTTTTTTTGAGATGCAATGTCAGTCACTCCCATGTAGATGAGCAAAGATTCAGGTGGAGTTCTTCATATGTGCGCAGGCTGAGCCTTGACATATATCTGATTTGTCAGATCACAAAGGGACACTTCCTCTAAAATTGCTCCTTTGTCCACTGCTGACCTGTGATTAACTTGAGAACAGCTAATTCATGCAGACCCTGTTGGTTACTGATTTTATACTAATTTCCAGGTGTGGTTAAAGTCATTAACACAGGCAAAACCTTTTGCTTTTTGTATAATGTCTTCTAGGTGAAGTGAATACTGAAACATCAGTGCTTTCATATTTGGGAGGAAAATAACTTCTCCAGTTGTCTGGGCAGTTGCCTTCCTCCCATTTAGTGTTTTGTTTTGCATAGACGTAGAGGCTTTAAATCTGAAAGTGATTGTGCCATTGAATAATGGCTTAGGTATTTCACAGAAGTTAGTTGAAATAAATGCTAGCAAGCCTTTAGTGCAAATGGCTCATTGATTAAATTTGGGACATAGAATGTGGGACATGTAATTTGGAATGTGATTCCAAGAAAACACATCATCTCATGGATGAGCCCTGGTTTGTGGTAGTATTGTTTTTTCTGGCAGGGAAAGCAGTGACTTGGTGCTGGTAAACCTCATATCATTTGAGTATTGTTATCACAGAGGAGCTGTACTTTTTGTAAGAGTACTATAATGTGATGGTCCTTTTAAGCCTGGTATTGTACATATCTTGATGAGATAGGAAAGTTACTCACAAAGAGCTTAATTGTGCTTGGAAAATATATGTGAATGAGAATTCTTTCCTACCCTATGAAAGTAACATTAAATGGAAATAGAGTAATGTGGGAATCCTTATTCAAAACTGGAACTATTTAAAGATTGGAACTCTTGAGGAGTTTGTGGTATGAATTTATGTGTATTTTGCCGAATAGTCTGCGTGTTAATAATGAAGAATATTTCTACTTCAGTCTTGTTCTGAATATACAGATAATTTAGCTTTAGATTTACAGCTATTAAAGCAAGCTTACACCTGTACCTCAAACTGCAGAAGGCAGGAACAAGCACAGCTGAAAAAGAAGATAAAATTAATGGTCATGTTTGCTTTTAAATTCTTGTCTTGCTCCCTGCAAGTCTGAGTTTTCCATATTACTCAATTCTATGGATTCTTTTTTTTCCCAAAACTAGATGATGAGTGTAATTTTCTGCTAGGCACTAAAATTTTTATAATTGTCAACTGTCCACGTATAGAAGAGTATTGATGCCTGCAGAACAGATCAGAGACATGGCTGTGACTCTCCTTTAGGAAAGAAAAATTTCTATTGCAAATATTAAATGATTGTCAGTCAGCAAGAGTGTCCAAAAAAAATAATACTCCAGATATACAGATTAGACAACTGAAATGCTTCTTGATTTCAAATAAGCTTAAAATATTTTTAGATCTTGCAGTTTTAAATATGAGTCTTGAGTTAGCAGATTTGGTCTTAAGACAGAAAGGAAGGCAGGAAGACTTCTGATGAGTGTCAGTGGCTTCTTTTCAACCTATTTGTATTTATTAAATGATGCGTAGATTTTAAAGGATGTTTTCTGAATGAAAATTACTTGAAGTTTAGTATAAACAGCGCAGTGGATCTGCTTTGTCTCAAGTCTTGATTTCTTTCCTTACTCCTATCTCCCTTTTGCTCCCTCCTTCCCGTCAAACAGACTTCAACTTAAGTTGTTTGTCTTTGAAAACTTTTAGTGCTGCGTTTGATACAGTCCTTGGAATAAATGTTGCTGTAAAGAAGCTGAGTCGCCCTTTTCAGAATCAAACCCACGCAAAAAGAGCTTACAGAGAGCTTGTTCTTTTAAAATGTGTCAATCACAAAAATGTAAGTTTGGCTTTATGTTTTTCTCCCTCATTACTGTAAGTTGTCTAAAAAAACCTCAGGATTTTCTCTCTTACTTGCTGTATGTAACCAAAGTAATAGAAGAAATAGTGAAAGACTGGAAAGATTTGCTAAGGGTGATGCAGTTCTTCACAATGTGTAGTTACATTCTTGCATGAACTGTTCGGAGTATGAAGTGCCAAAAGGAGGAGGTTTTTGCAATGTTGTTGGTATAGGTTTACCGTTAGTGTCAGCTTTATAGAGCTGGCCTTGTATTGCATTTGCCCTTTTAAGTCATACTGCAGCAAAGCCTGTTTGGCAGTGGGTTTGTTTGTGAGTTTGGCTGTTGTAACTGCATTGTAGTTAAATCTTCTGAGCTTAGGCAACGTTTTTATTAAATACAGTGTTTAACTGGTGGGGTTTGCAGGGGTGTACCACTGTCTAGTGCGTTATTGGTAAGCAGAAGTTAAATACTATGGGCAAGACATTTTAAAATCTTTGAACCTTCTAAAATAACAAACCTTAATGTTAATATTTCATTGTTCAAGTACAAGAATATAAGGTTTATGTGACTGTTATGTTCCGATAGTAACATGAACTAGAAACGTTACTGATTATTGAAGTTCTGCACTTAAACTTCCTGGAGTTGATTAACCTTTTAGAATTGGTTTTGTTTTGTTTTTTGTTTTTTGGGGGTTTTTTTGAAGTAAGCTTTTGGTGAAGTCCAGAAGTAGCAGAGCAAAAGCAAGGTGGTTATTAACGATGGCAGTACAGTAATTTTAGCAGTTCTTCTAGAAATGGTGCATCATAATCTTAAGTTTATTGGGATAGTGTGAGGTACCTCACACCTGTGTTGTTGGACACCCCTGGTTAAAGTTCTTTAATGGTCTCTTATTTTAAACCACATTGACTATTTATGGGAAAAAATGGGATGTATTTCAGACACTGGGTGGGGAGATAGAAGGTGTCGTATAACTTTAAAAAGAAGAGCTTTGTCCTGCCTTAGTTCCTTTGGCATACATGCTGCAGATTTGAACTATTTCTGAATCGGCAGTTTTTCAGTGCATATGGATTAAGTGAAGCCAAGTAACATTCAAATTGTGTATAGTAATAGCGTGCATTTGACTTTGAATAGTAACTTCTGCAATAGTGGATATGTATGTGAATTAAAGTTGAAGTTTCTTCTAATGTTTATTTTTATTTTATAGATAATTAGTTTATTAAATGTATTTACACCACAGAAGTCACTAGAAGAATTTCAAGATGTGTAAGTATTAGATTTTTGTTTTAGTCTTCCTGACAAATACTAGCCTAAGCCCTGGAGCTGTATTTCCTGTAACTTACAGGCTTTGCACTTTGAAAACAGAGTGTACCTAAGGGCTGAATTTAGCCTTTGATTAGTCTTTGTATCTAGGTTTCTTTAAGAAGGAGCAGTAATGTTGTTTCACTACATGTGTATGATGGAAGTGGGAAATAAAAAAAAAAGGTTATTTACTTCTTATTCATCTGTCTGTCATGCTTTCCTGCTTGCATATACATCTGGTTTGCGTGCAATGACCCTTAGCTAAATGGGTCACCTCAGAATAATAACTTGGTCTGGATAACCTGATACCATTTTCTTGCCATAGCAGTCACATCAGCACAACAGTATTTTTGGCCTCAATTAAGAACTGAATATATTTCTTTTTTATGCCTGCTACATCAGTTGGTCTAGAAAGGATTCATGGTGATGTAATTGGTGCAGTATTCTTAGGTTCCAGTGAATATCTGTTGTGGTTTGTTAATGGGCTTCTTGGGTAAATGGGGGAGTGTGTGTGTCTGGAGGGGGTAAGATATTGTAACTTGAAAATTAATCATTCCTTCTTGGTTCTTACTGTAGTCCTCTTAATATTCTTAATTTTTCTAACATTAAAATAGAGTGAAAGGAAGCATCATTTTTTTGATACATTGCAATATCTGCATCAGCTTCAGCCAGTCTTAGTTTTTCACGCTGCATAAATTCAGAATTATTCCTCTTACTGTTCATAAAACTAGTGGAATTCTAATCTCTGGACTATTGAACACTTAAGTTTTAATAGTAAGACTATTTGAATAGATAATTTAATTTTGACACTGGTCTTTTTTTTTAATCATAAGGTTTTTGACACTTATGTTAGCAAAGTAATTGACTTTTATTAAATATCTCTTATGCTAAGCTTAAACCTGATAGGTAAAGTAAGACTCGAGTTTTCTTAATGCTTTCTTTTTTGTGCTTTAGATATTTGGTTATGGAGCTGATGGATGCAAATTTGTGCCAGGTTATTCATATGGAATTGGATCATGAAAGAATGTCTTATCTTCTTTACCAAATGCTATGCGGTATCAAACATCTCCACTCAGCTGGTATCATCCACAGAGTAGGTAGTATTAGATCATTAACAATACTTTTTATCAACACAGATGTTCTTATGAAACGGAGGGGGAAGGCAGAGGGTTGTTATTTCATAAGTTTGTATTTCATTCATAAGAATATTATTAAACCTGAAGATTGTTTCTAGTTCAGAGATAAAGACTATATTGTAAATAGATCTTAATTTGGTTTAGTTCTGTGGATTTAAGTAATGCTGAACAGATTAAAACATGAGTATTCAAACCTTTCAAATTACTAAAAAATTAGTCTTTAAAATGTAATATTTACCTCTTAAATATCTCTATCCTTGGAGATATTCAAAAGCCATCTGGACATGGTCCTGGGCAACTGGCTGTAGATGGCCCTGCTTGAAGCAGATGACCTGCAAATGTCCTTTCCAACCTCAACCATTCTGTGACTCTGAAAAGTAAAGTTTGTAAATTATCAGAGTTTCAGAGTCCTGTGCAGACTTCATATATCTCTCTGCTTCTGTTGTTCTGCTGCTGCTCTTTTTAAATTTTTTTATTTTTTTATTTCATGACTAGTCTGTTTGACAGATCTACTTGTTTTCTGTTCCTTTTCTTCCCCTACTTCCTAGACACACTTGCTTTTTAATTTTTTTTTTTTTTTTGGCCTGGTGGCTGAAAACTCTATCTAGTTCTAGTTTAATGTGTTCAATCCATAAACATAATTGAGAAGCTGTATGAATTACAACAGATTTCCATCCTTTGCTGAAAAAAAATCTACCATTAAAATCCTATGGTATTAGCAAGGAAGTTATGTATAGTTAAGTCTGTGTCCGGATAGTCTTGGAACTGGACTTTCCTAAAATTATGGAGTGAGGTGTGTAAGAGACTGAAGTGAGGAGGGCTGGAACTCCAGCTGAACTCCACCTGATGTGTTGGCTGTGATTTGGAGCTTAAAGGGGAGACACAATATTTGCTGAGAAATTTGAGCTCATAGGAGAACAGTGATCAGACAGAACTGATACTGGTTGAACAAGAAAATGGGCAATAAGAGGAACTGCACTGTGAATAGCTAAACAGAGGTGTGAAGTTTATTTGAGTGGAGAAGCTAAAGTGGTGAGCATTAGTTTGGGTTAGTTTGGGACCAAACCAAAATGACCTTTCTGGAGTGGAAGCTCTCAACAGATTGAGAGATTTGGTTTTGAAAAGAAACGAGGCTAGGAAAGGAACAGAGCTGGCATAGTTCAGAAGGAATAGAATAGTAGGAATTATATCTAGAAATCAGTCAGAGTCTGTGACGAAACAGAGTAAATTCAATAGCGTTCTGCATCACACACACATGAACTATTTGCATGTCCCCATCTCCTTTAAGAAAAGGAAGTTCTGTACCTGAGAACATGGTTTGTGTGGTTGAAACTAAGTCAAACGCTAGCAGAATTAAATGTACTAGTACATGTGTAATTCGTTTACTTCTGATACTTTGTGAATAAAACCCAATTATTCTAGTTTTCCCTAAGTGTGTATTCTTTTGGTGCAGTAATCACTGTTCCCATGAGGCGTATTGCCTAAAGTATTTTATTCTTCTCCTCACTCATTTGGTAACTTGGTGTTTTCACTACATCCTAATGCTGTGAAATTTACTAATCGCTATAACGCAGGTTGTTTATCTGTCATTAACAAATTAATTCTTTGTGTGTTGGGACACTCCTTTTCGTACAGATGCTTTCGTAATTTGTGATGTTGTCTTTAGGATCTGTGTCCTAGTGATGACAGTGTTTGGAACAGTCTCCTTCACCATGCATTCATATCCAAATATGAATCATATCACTATTCATATCCAAAATAAGTGCACTTAATGTGCTAAAGGAAGCAGATACAGGTACACATTGTGCATATATACAGACCATTATGTAACTGAGTGTACTGTGAGTGCACAACTGGGTAAATTAAGACACTGCAGACAAATTTGATTCTCATTTTCCTGGAATTTTTTGAGTACTTAGCTGTGCAGCATTTAACTTATCTCTAATCTGTGTATAAATAAGCAGATACGTCGGAGCAGGAATATGCAGTTGTTAATGTGAACTGGTGGCATATATTGACTGTGAAGAAGGGATGTATATTATTATGTATGTTGATCCTTCCTTAACTGAAGTTATTTCTTGTTAGGATCTGAAACCCAGCAACATAGTAGTAAAATCAGATTGTACGCTCAAAATTCTTGATTTTGGACTGGCAAGAACAGCATGTACTAACTTTATGATGACTCCATATGTAGTAACGCGGTATTACAGAGCACCAGAGGTTATCCTTGGAATGGGATATAAAGAGAATGGTAAGTTGCTGGAGCAATGCTTTTAAATCTTTTGTCTAAAGCATATCTACCTCAGAACATAACAGCTTTAAAAGATGGGGGGGAGGGCTGTTTTCCCCCTGTCATGTCTGTTGTTAAAGTATGTTAATCATAGGATTGGAAATAACAAAATTACACTTAATAATTTTGGAGAATGTAATAGTTTTCTGCTCTGCGTGCCTATCTCCATTTAACGTATACAGCTCCCTCTCCCCTGCTATTGTTATTTTTTTCATGTGTTGTCCTGTTGTGTTGTTGCCATTTTTTTTATCCTGCAAAAAAACCTGAGACGCTTACGCTGGATGATGTTAAAAAAAATAAATTAACAATCATCAATCTATAAATAATAAACCCTTTTATTAGTGTGATTTTTATTCTGAAGCATTGTCTTTCGCATCTCCGATTATTAAAATTGGTTTCAGATCCCTATGATAAACCATGTCTTACACTTTCTTAAATCTGCATAGCACTCAGAGATGCTGGGTGTTATATTATTAAAAACAACACAGCTATAATACGTTGAACGTTCAGCCAACAAAATGGCTGGCAAGGAAGTTGTCCTTGACTTGCATTATTGGGGGGATTTACCTGCTGATTTTTATTAGCTGTGGAGTAATGTGCTGCCTTCTCTGGACTTCTATGCTAGTACATCTTTTTGCTTTATCACAGAGGCTTGGGGATACCATGCTTTTTGTATACATGTAACTTTGTAAAACAAGGGACTCACAGGGCCTTGCTCTGCCACTGATAATGAAAAAAACCTTTCATTAATGCGCGAGCAGCTTGTCATACAGCAAGTGCTGATGTGGATCAGAACTTGAGTAGAGGCTGTTATGGATGAGACAAAAAGTAAATTATCTGAAGGACTGTAGGAATACAGTGTGAGTGTACAAATATATAATTATGGTATTTAAAAAACCTCTTTAATCTTTTGTCCTTGTTGCACCTAACATATGATAGTGGATATCTGGTCTGTTGGGTGCATTATGGCAGAAATGGTCCTCCATAAAGTCCTGTTCCCAGGAAGAGATTGTATCCTTCTTCACGGTTGTTTCAGAAATGCAAACACTAATTATATTTTACAAAATGCTAATAACAAAATTTAGCAACAGTCAGTTGGTGTTGATATGATTGAAAATTCATGTTAGCAGTTTGGTTTTCCACATTGTTGTGTTTTATTGTAGATGCTAGATGTTTTTGTTTGTTTTCCTCACTTTTGTTCATGATACTTCATAATTTGATCATTTCATTTTTACTTTCAGTTGATATCTGGTCAGTTGGGTGCATCATGGGAGAATTGGTGAAAGGTTGTGTGATATTCCAAGGCACTGATCGTATCCTTCCCTAGTCATCCTTGAATCCCATTCCACTTCCAACAGAAACACAATTATTTTGATCTGTATAAGTATAAAAGCATAAGCAATATTTTCAATAAGATGTTTTAATAGATCTACTGAACTATTTGAAATTAGTGTCATTAACCAAATTGTTGAGCTTTCCATTTTATTTTCTTAGTAGACTATATTTAATGTAACATGTACTGGTTGAATTCATGGAATTTATATGAAGAGCTTCAGCTTTTGTAGCTTAAAAAAGGGTACTGTTAGGTTTAAAAAATAAAAAGCAGTAAGTATATTTTCATACTCTTGTTCTTTGTAGATAAGTGTTATAAGCAAAAGCCTACAAAGTTACTTTTTATTATGCATGGATTTTGCTTACTATTTGTTTGAACAGTAGACTCTTTTTATTGTACAATTTTTTGAGTTTCAATCAGATTTTTTTCTTGCTTATTAGCACTTGCTGGACAGCAGTGTCCTAATTGCAAACACACTGCATGAGAAATATTTTTTTATTATTATTATTTATTATAAAAAGAAAAAACATTTTCTTTTTGGAGTTTTTGTCATTCTATGAAAATTTTATTTTGGGCTTACTTTTTCTATATGATTGTTATTCCTCCATTCCTCCCTCCAGTATTTTTGACCCAGATTTGTCTTTATAAAATTCTGCTTTCTTGTACGATATTAATTGTAGGAAATTTTACTGTATTAAAACAAACAAACCCCTCATCTATATGTTTTCATGCCTTAGAGATTGGAAATCTCAGTAATACATCACTGGATCACAAACAAGTCCTTACACTGTATTAAGTGAACAGAAGTGATCATTCAATAAAGTAAGTGTTCTTTGAAGACTTTGATGTATTTCAAAATCTTTCC